CACACACACACACACACACACACAGTTGTGCTTTCATATCCTTGTGGGGACATCTAATTGAATGCTTTCCCATCCCTCAGCCTGACCGTAACCTAACTGTGACCCTGACACTAAAACCACGTTCTGAGCCTCAAAAATACCTTCAAACTGGTGAGGACGGGCACTTTTTTTCCCACAAGTATAGTAAACTTCCGAATTTTGGTCTCCACAAAGATTACATGGTAATTACATGAGTACATGGTAAACACACACACATGTAGGCAGAAACACAGACAGCAGGTCAGATTTTGGTGCGTGATGAACTTTGAAGGTGTTGCTCACCTGTCGGGGTTCTGACTCTGTCGTCTTTTTGCTGCAGTGATCAGTGCAGCCTGCAGAGGGCAGCGTTTCAACTTTCACTGCCCGTTGTTGCAGCAGCGGCAGTTTTAATGCACACTCAGAGCTTTGCTTCCTGATTGGATGAATCCTGAGCACTTTTCTTCTGCCTGGTTCTTTGTGACAAGCCTCTGGAAACCTCGTCTGTCAGGGAGAGACCGCTCTCATGCACGAGACGACGACGATGATGATGGACAGGATAACTTCGTTGACTGATCAGTATATGAGATGTTTACCTGAAGCAGCAGCAGCTGATGTTTGTTTTCTTGTTTTCTTTTCAGGTTAAATGTTAGATGACGATGTGAAGACTTTCAAACTTGCTTCATGAGTCGGTGTCGAGCTGTTATTTGCTCGGTGACAATCTTTCACTTGATATCTGACCGGAGGATCGAAGCGGTATCGCCGTGATGCTTCTTACTGTCGGTGACCTCGCCGTCAATAAGATGATGCTGACAGGTGCAGAGGCAGCTTCTATGATTGCATTCACGTTCGTCCTGTTGAAAGTTTCGCTTCTTTGATTGTTGGCCGGAGTGTCGTTAGAAGGAATTTAGCCGATACTAACTTGCTGCTCTTCTTCAGCTCTGGTAATGATGAAGATTAGCTGCTGATGTTCGATCAGAGTCTAAACTGTAACTCTCTCTGTCTCCCTGCAGACTCTGGAACGTTTCCAGGTTCCTGAAAAATGTTTCGGAGCCACGATGTGAGGATCCGTCAGAGCGGTCGAGCCTTCGTGGAAGCGTTGGGGTGTGACTGTGTCGGTGGAAAGAGCGCAGCGCTGTGACGTCCTGACCGCGAACTTCCTGCCCTCGAGATGAGCGCCTCCGAGCCCGCTAACAGTGTCCCCGTCAGGGGCGCGGGCGGCATGAAGCTCCCTCTCCACAGTGCGGGAGACCACAACGGGAATGCTTTCCCAATTTCATCTTCCTCCTCTTCCTCCTCTTCCTCGTCCTGCCTCGGGGAGTCGTCTCCTGAGTCGCTGCGGAGTCTGAGCGGGGGCCGGACCGACAGCCCGCTGGACTACGACATGTTTGACGTTACCCTGACGACGGTGAAAACTGTGACTCTGAAGTCTGTCGTTTCAGACTGGGCGCCCGAGGAGGAGCGTAACCCGGACGACGGCGATGACGGTGACGACACCTCGTTGGGGAAATCTCAAACCGTGACGGAGTCCAACGACAACTCCGTGTCTGTTTACCTGGACGCCAACGGCGACGACTACCACCAGGACAGCTGGAACGACAACCTGACACTCGCCCGATCGCTGACAGGAAACGGCGGCCTCAACAACGAGGACGTCAGCAGTGGAAGCAGTAACGGGAGAAGGCGCAGCTCCTCACCTCCAGACTCGGACGCAACAGAAGTCCCTGCTGATGATGATGATGATGAAGAGGAGGCGTTGTTTGTGTCTGTGAGCTCTGATGTGGACGTGCAGAGAAGCAGTGCGATGATCGCGAGCTCAGGTGGTCGGTCAGGTGACGGCGTCCAGGTGACGGAGGTTGAGGTGGGCGGGCCTGCGGTCCACTGTCCTCCAGAGCCGTCCACAGGACGTCACGCAGATCCTCCAGCCTCTGAAGACCTCAGTGAAGACACACAGATGTCGACTAAAGATGTTAAGAAAACGAGCTCTCCTCCACCTGAAGAGGCTGAAACGGGTGTAGTGGGCTCCAAACCTCCGCCCTCCCAGCCTGACGTGAGTCTGGCAGCAAGACCCAGACCTGCTCCCAGGTCAGCCGCCTCCACAGCTGCCAAACCGCCCGGTCCAGAAGCAAAGAGGGTTTCCAGAGTGGACTTAAAAACAGTCAGAGCTAAAGTGGGATCACGCTCCGCCTCCTCCCCACCGAAACCTGCCACCCAGGTACACGGCAGCCAGGTGTTACTGTGTTTGCTGCACCTCCACCCCGACGTTCACTCGAAATGTTTTATGTGATAGACGACAAGTAATGTAATCACTGATTATTACTGGAACACCTGCACAGGTACACAGACCCATAATCAGCATAATCCATGTTAGCATGTTAGCATGTTAGCATGTTAGCATCGACCTGTAGTCCCAGATTTCACTGAAAGTTTCCTCCAACAAGTCGGTGTAGCAGGAAGTGTAGTGCAGCTGCTCCCTGCACAACACCTGAATACAGGTCACATGGTCACTGACCAGTGTCACATCGCATAAAAACCCTCAAAGTAATTTATTACTTGGCTTAGAAAAGAGTAAAGGGCGTGTTTAATAGAAGCACACAGCAGGGCCTTCTTTAAGTGCGCCCAGACTCTGAGCTGTTGCTTATCAGGTGACATGAACACTCTGACATTTTCAAATGTGTCTTCTACTCAGAATAAATCTGCCCCGTCCAATGGGAAGAGAGCTGTGGTGAGGAAGGAGGTGCAGGCTGGTGATGGAGGTAAAAGACAGCGGTCGTCGGCAGGTCCCATCAAAGTGGCTGTGATCAGAGCAAAGAGCAGGAACATCAAGCCAAACCACAGGAAAGCAGCCGGGGAGCCGACCGTGCCGCAGGAGAAGAGTTTATCCGTCAGCCGAACCCTGTCCACTTCGACCAGCTCGCTGGGCTCAGAGGTCGCTGGGGAAAAACGCCTGAATGCTCCCAGGAAGGCTGACCGGGACGTGCCCGATAAATATGGAAAACCTGATGAGGGGGAAGCAAAATGCCCAAGTGAGGAGTGTGTGGAGGGGCAAACGGAGGGCTCAGGAGAGGCTTCGGTGTCAGCAGCCGCTGTGGAGAAACCACGGACGCCTACCAGGGTGAGTCTGAAGAAGACGTGAACTGCACTCGTCTGCCTCATGAGAGTTTAAACATGTCGTTTTGCACACGAACGATCCGGGAACTCTGGCGGCTCGAGGTGCAAGAAGTAATTCGATATGTGCTTATTGTTGGCAGCACATCTGTGACATAACCAAGTGTCTGCATGTGAGGACGGAGGAGAGGTTTCCTCTCTGGAAACGGTTCAACACATGCAACACACATGAAGCGTGTTTATATACACACGCAAGTCTTTTTAAGCTTTTGCTGGGACAGAGAGCGGAGCTTAAACTGCCTCAGGGTGGATTTGAACATTAGCCCGGGTCGCTGCTCCACCCGGTGAGTTGGTATCGTCACCTCCATCCACGATATTTAATCCTTAACCAATCACAGGTGGTGTTTGAGCCACACCGTACTTTTATATCATATCAAAATAAAAGCTGCAAGACGTTAATGTTAAAGTTCCCAAGAAATGTCCGTCTGCAGGGCCTCCTGCACGCTGTGGCGTCCAGTCTGTGACCTGAGCTCAGGATTTACTTTGAATTCGTGTGAAGGCGGCATGTGGTGCAACAGGGCGAGCTGGATGCAGCGCTGGCGTGAACGTTTCCTCGTCAGCTGATGAGTTTGAAACTCGAGGAGATGAAAGATGAAACGAGCTTCCTGATAAATAACTGCGAGCTTTAGCTGCGCTGATGATGCGCTGAGTTTACAGGAGCGCGCACGGCGAGCGTGCACGGTCTCTGGTATGTGTTTTTGAAGATGTGTAAAACCTGCTGTCACAGGCCGCCCCGGGGGCGGGGCAGATACCTGTTAAACCCTGCTGTGAGAGTACGAATGTTTAAAGGGACACGTCACCACATAATCATCTGTGCACAGCTTAACTGCACGCTTCCTTCTGCAAAGCGATGTGGTTGGTGGCTGTAGTATGGCGGGGAAAGTAGTTCCCGTCTGATTAGTAATGAATTCTGCAGAGGAGGTTCACGGCGCAGCGACGGGCACAGTTTCATGTCCCGTAAATATCTGAATATTCCACACAGACCGCGCACATGTGGTTTGAGTCGGGCCGACGTGACACTTGAGTTTATTTTGGCAGCGATGACGGAAACGCTGCTGCACGCGTGCGCTGCGCTCCATCTTTTCATGTATTACCAGACAATCAGCTGTGCTGCCAGCTTGCATGTTAACACATGATTTAGGGTGAACGCTGCAGTAATCCGCCGGAGGAGGCTCCGAGGTTTCTGATCGGAGTCAATAAAGCAGCTTCTACAACACACACACACACACACACACACACACTCTGCCATAAACTCGCTCCATGTGTGCTCGTGTACTCAGAGGGGGAGGAACATGGAGGGGTGGGGGCGGGGAGAGAGAAAGCTCCTGGCCCCGTCCGAGCTCGGGTTCTCGGGGGGAGTGTACGACACAATGGCAACTGTTTTTGCCCTCCTCGTAGTTGCAGCACACTCCCAGTTTCCCTCCTCCTCATTTCCTTCCCTCCTTTTCCTCCTCCCCTCCAGTTTTAAAAAAATCTCTCTCTCTCTCTGTCACTCCTCCCCTGCTTCGCTCGTCCACATTTCCGACTCTGAGTGGGGAATGGCTAACACCATGGTCTCGCTCTGCAGCTCCGAGCTGCGGCCCCTCGGCTGGGACGCCGTCACTAAACGTCAGCTCTTCTTACAGAAAGTCTCCTCCAAGCTGGGACCCAGCCCCAGGCCTCAGGGAAGAGGCACCAGAGCAGACCGCGGGCCCTCAGGACCAGCTCCGGGCTCAGGGACCGGACCTCCAGGTCAGGGGAGCCCCGGACCCAGGCAAGCCCAGACGGATGGCTCCACGCTGGGAAAAGGTGGGCCGAGTGCTGGGAGTGGAGCTCCAACCACCAAGAGTCAGGGTGAGTCAGTGCAGTGCCTGCTCTCTGAGCACATACCTGAGAGAGACACACACACACACACACACACACACACACACACAGCAGAGACCTAACATACAGTGAGTTTGCAGCTGATGGTTTTGTTTTAGCTGCAGTTTTGCAGAACTTTAATTTATTCGTGTGTGTGTTTTAGTTCCCTGTTGCTCTCGGAGGAAACACTCGGGGATGTTTTTTCCTTAGGCTGGTGTTTACTTCCTGTTTGTTCTTCCTTGTTTGTGTTTTTTGTGATGATGCGTGTGGAGACGTCAGGTAAACTGCTGCTGAGGAGACTTGACCTAAACAGTGCTGTGGGCTCTACAGGGGGTCCAGTGGCCTGTAATTCCACACGTGTGTGTGTGTGAGCAGCTTGTTTTCCAGAGTCACTGAGCCGCAGCGTCATTTACATAGCTGAAAATGCAGATGTGCCTGTTGTGGACGGAGTATTTGTGTGGAGACTCTGTGTAAAGGTCACGTTTTGCTGGACAAAAGCTCGTCTGTCCTCGTCGCTCACACTCGGGAACAAACGGACGTCTCTTGACCTGAAGACGGAAATCTAATGAATGGATTCTTCTCTGTGTTTGAGAGTCTGCACTTTGGATTTTTGCTGCAGGGGGAAATAAGCAGCGCTGAAATCTTCTTGCTAATAAGGACGCAGCTCGCCTTCGTGACTGTGCGATCATCTGTAAGGTTGGTGGGGTTGTGCAGGCAGCACACAGCTGTCACAGCTCCTGTGAACTGGAATAGAGTCATGCTCCACGTCGCCACAGACACTGGGATGGTTGTCTGCAGCTTCCAGGTCTGAAAGTTGGACCCAGTGCAAGAATGCCTTAAACCTGCGTTCTTGTTAATGTCCAGCAGGGGGCGGTGGCTCTGAAGTATCATTGTGACCTCAGCAAACACTTTCCTGCTGAGTTTGTGATCTGTGTTAAACTCTTGAAACAGAGCAGTCAGACTGGAACATCTGACCAGGCATCCTCAGAGCACATCTGTAAGGTTTGGATCGGACACCTGCAGAGCTGCAATACATTGCTGAGCTCTCACAGGAAACACCTGGATGTTCCAGCTGTTTGAAATGGTGTAGTTTGGTAGAGGTGTGTGCCTGAGGCTGCTGAAGTTGTCTGAATGAAACCAGGTGAGCCGAGCGTATCGAGCGCGAGCGGCGAGGAGCGACGTCTTGAGTTTCCAGCCATCAGTTATTAACACATGATTGTAGTTTGGAGCCACAGCACTGGACGCTGCAGCTGTGACGTTTGGGTGCAGATCTGCTGGCAGCGCTGCTGCGGACTCTGTTTGCACATTTCAAAAGGTTCATATTATTATTATTTAAAAAAAACTGTTTTTGTGTGGATCAGCGCGCTTGTATTCAAAAGGTTTCTCCATGTAACGACCTGCTAGGGAGTGTGGGGAGACATGGACACAGACGAACGCGCATTCACACCACCGTATACACAAACAAATACTCGGCACTCACCCGACGTAGAGACACACAAATAGACACTGCACAGACAGTCGCACTCCCCAAACATGCTCTATATCCCGGGTCCAGGTACCCCCGCCCTCAGAGGGGCAAGCCGCACCCGGCCCGGTTGAGATCGTTTCTAACGTGTGCAGTTTCTTTGGCTCGTGTCTGCAGCACCGTTTGCACAACATGAAACTAGTTTTCACAATTTTCTGTGCTCACAGCTCCTTTTTTGTGCGTTTGCATGTCGTGCATGAAATGCACAGCCATTATTGAAGTCGTCAGCAGGCAGCGGCGACGATCACTCAGAGCTGCAGAAACAAAGCGAGTCGGCTCTTTGTTTCTTTAATATCGAGGTCGTGCACGTCGCAGCAGGAACGCTGGAGCCTGTTGGAGGCGCGCGCAAAAACACGAGGTGTGTTTAGTTCAGATGTTTGTGCTGGTGCTGAGAATCAGGTGAAAGGTGGGGATGTCGGGCGGGTGTGGCCGGGGCGTCCTGCTCGGTCCTCGTGCGTGAGCAGCTCTCACCTCACATCCATTTCTGAGGTAACAGAATCCAGCTGCTCTCTGGACGGCGCTTCCTCCAAACTGAAACCAAACGAAGCCAGATGTTTCCTGCTGGCTTCAGTTTTACTGGTGTGTGTGTGTGTGTGTGTGTGTGTGTGTGTGTGTGTGTGTGCGCAGTGAACACATGTCAACCTTTATTCCTTGTTTAACAAGCTCTTTTTCCGTTTACAGCTCTTTGTGCGTTCCCTCTCTCGCTGAAAGTTGGAGGAACTTTAAATGTAATCATTCAAAGCCGAGTCTGTGACGGGACGCAGCAAACAAACACCGGAGCAAACTGCTGCCTGCAGAGAGGCAGAGATGTGATCTGAGGCGAGCTGGGCTGCGGTTGGTTAAACTTCACACCAAGCTCTCCGAGCGGCGAGATTCTGTCGCGCTTCACGTGCAGGAGACGAGCCGTGAGCTTCTGTTTGGACGTGAAGTGTCCGTCCCCTCTGTCCTCGTTCTCTCTGCTGATTGGCTCTTAACGCTTTGCTCGTGCTTCACTGATGCTGCTTCGTGCCGCGGTCCGCAGCCCTCGCCGGCCCACTCAGAGCCGCTGGATGCTTCGCTTGCGTTCACGTCCTGACATCTCGAGTCGCCGCCTGGTGTGAAGAGCAGGGCGGCGGCTCTCGGGGGGAATACGCTCTGCTTTTAGTCTTTTGGAAAGAATGCGTGATTCAGGCCACAAGAATGAGTCTGAGAGGCGGAGCCTCTGTGGAGCGTGGGGGGGGGGCTGTAAGCGATCATGAATATCTTTGTGCTTCAGCTGCAGTCTGATGATCCACGGGTCGTGCTGGTCCTGAAAAATGGTCTGAAGTGAGTTTAAAGGAGCAGACTGATGCTCAGTGAACGCTTTCCTCTTTATTAGGCACACAGGTCAAAAGGTCAAAGTTCATCATTGTTTCTGCTGCTGTTTGTGATTAATGCAGTTCTCAGACACTGATCACCAGAGCAGCTGCCATCATGCTGTGTGTGTGTG